AGAGCACGAAACAACACAAACCACCTGCTAAACATCTTAACATGGTTCATCAAACACAACAAAACATAGCCAAAACTCAGCAACAAAAGAGGCCAAAATCACAACACAACCCGCCTCTCCTTTGGCTCTCTTTCTCAAACCCAAAAGCAATTGACTAAGGCCAACACATACGAAGTTAAAACCTCTGAGTCTGACACAATATCAGCATGTCGGATGCACTATGAAACCCAACACAACTCGTTATAATCAAAACAAATAGCAACTCTTCTTCCCTTTAATTTTTATCAACTAAGCATGTGTTTCAAAACTAAGATTTAACAATACCAACGGCATGAAAATCAGCATGCTTCAGCACCAAGAGAACACGTGATAACATCCTCACCATAACACAATATAAGCAAGGCAAATTACATCTTGCAAAGGTTTCATAAACTCTAAGCATGCTTATAAATAATAATAAAAAAAATGACTGAACTTAGTGCCTTAAAACTCATAAATTTAGCACATAAAATAGCACAACTCAAAGCACCTCTTTCCTTTTCAAGACTAAGGCATGAAATCCAACATTTCAAACTGAACAATAAGCACATATAAGCCATCAAAAGCTCGGCCAAAAGAGGTACTAAGCTCAGCCAATAATACCTCTAGTCGCGAATAAAAATAGGGAAAGAGGTTCGGGTCTCGGCTACGAGTTCTCGGACGTCAGTCGCTGCTCTCAGTCCGCTGCTGCCGTGCCCGACATTCGTCTCCGTCACGCGCCGCTGTTGTCTGTTGTCGGCCCTCCGACACTGCTCTCGGTCCATCGATAACGGTGCCTCAGCCGCAGGTAAGAGTTCGGCCTCGGGCGTGCTCGGGAAAACTGCTCAGTCGCGGACAGAGGTCCCCTTCGCTGCTGATGTACTAAACTCCCGACCAGTCACAACTCACGGACGACGTATGCGATTCTCGGTGGGGCTGCTGTCCACTCCTCGTCGCCGGAAGTCGCTGCTCGAACGTCGCCGAAACCGCCCAGCCGCACGAAGGTCGTAGAACGCAGGTCACTGGGCTGCTTTGAGCGAAGGTCACGGCCCGTCGCTGTTGCTTGTTATGTCGTCTCGCCTGCTCTCAGCCGCCGGAATTAGGGCTTCGGTCATCGGTGGTTATCGCCCTTCGTCAGCCGCGCCTGCTCGCCTGGAAGTCACCGGAAGACAGAGCTCCATCTCGATGCTCTCGACGGTGGTGGCTTCAACGCGACCGGACGATGGTCGGAGAAGATGATGGCTGGGGGAAGGTCGCCGGAATCGCAGCTTCAGTCGGGAAGAGAGAGGGACGGCGAGAATAAATTCAGATGATGAGGGAGATGAAGGCACGCAGCAGAAGAAGAAAAGAAAAAAGAAATGTGTGATGGCGATTGGAGGTTTAGGACTTCAGATAAAGGTTATTGGGCCAACCAAATGGGCTGAAAGTGTAACTCATTTGGGTCAGACACTTCAAAAATAAACGGACTGAAAATAAATCCATTTGGACCGAAACTTGATAGCATTAAGATGAATTTGCACCCTATACTATCAAATATATTTTATTCTATACATTTAAATCTAATTGATTTTTATTTGCAAAGATGCAAAATCACCCTAAAATAATTACACATATACTAGAATTCAAATTTAGTGATTTTATCTTATCTTTTGATTATGGAAGGAGACGGATTTAATGAGAATTTATGCTTTTAACTCTCATACCACAAAACACTAATTTCTCCATAGTGGCTAATTCACATAACCGCCAAAAACCAATAATAAAAAAAATCCATCCACAACAACAACAACAACAACAAAGCTTTTTAGTCCCAAACAAGTTGAGGTAGGCTAGAGATGAAACTCAAGAGAAACAACGGTAATAAAAACAAAAAACAAAAAACAAAAAAAAAAATGTAGGATTCTGAAGATGTAGGATTCTGAAGAGCTTTTCACAGATCCTGCGGTGGTGCAACCAACGCCAGTTTCCTCAGATCTCGAAATCTCATCAAACTTTTTCAGCCATGGACACTGCTGCGACACAATCAATTTCGGTGACGAAATCAACCAAAGTCTGCATCATTTGCTTTTGCTCTTACTGTTACTCTGATAACGGGGTTCCGTCGTACGCCGTAATGATCGCCGAAGTGCAACCGGAAGCCGGCGGCGATGTTAGTGATGAGTCTTCAGTCATCTCTGTTAGTGATGTGTCAGTCATGTCCATTCGCCCCACGTTTCTTATCGATAGAACCTATTTGGACGACATCTACAATTTATGCGTTCTGAATTCGACCCAATACACGGTCGAGATGGGCATCCCTACCATCGACGGATCCCTGCGACGGAAATCGGTATAAACCTGCGATCTGTCGCTGTACCTGAAAGATGGCGGCGACGTCGGCGGTGACATCCTGATTTTGGGTAAAGACGTGCTGCTGGCCTTGCCGGAAATGATGTACCCTACAGTATATGTACAACTTTTTTGAGAATTTATTTTTCTTTGATTTATTTTAGAGTATATGTACAATATATCTATAGTATATGTATAATATATGTTCACAGCAGCATATGTTGGATGATGCGTGTATAGACATGAAGTATATGTGGTGCGTATAGGGAGTATATGTTCAGTATATTAGAAGATTTTGTTTTTTTTTGTAAATTGTTCAGTATATGTTGTGTATATGTGGAGTATATGTTCAGTATATTAGATTTTATTTTATTTTATTTTTTTTTATTTATTTATTTTTTTGTACAGGGAATATAAGTAACCCGTTATAATATGTTTATAAACTATATAAATACTTTTATGTGTAAAAGTAAAAAAAAAAAAAGAAAACAATAAGACATAATTTTTTGATGTAAGACATGTTTTTCATTGCAACGTATACTGAATATATACTAACATAAACGCAACATATACCCATATGGACAGCTGCGTGAATTACAATACATGATTTTATCTCTCTCCATTAAAAACTTACAAGCTGCATTAAATAAGGAATTAAATGAGTTAGCTATTAATAGATATGGTAACTGCTTTTAGGCATTAATGTAGTTATATATTATCTATTGGGTAGAAATGTAATTATTTGTTTATGAATTATATTTTTGCAATATTTTTATAATCTTGTAACATAGACGAAAATTTCTCTATAATTAACTCCAATTGGGCCGAGAATAATAACATGATAAGGCCAAGGAAATACAACTAAATTGACCGAATTAATTTATCATAAAGGATCGAAAATTAATTCAAACAGGCCGGAATAATTGACTCCAATTGAGTCGAAATAACTAGCAATAATGGGACGAGAGTAAAAAAAGTTAAGATTGGGTCGGGTCCAAGGTTCGAAAAAATATCAAGAACGGTTCTTAAACTGCGCGATTAAACCGCAAGTATAACTAAACGAACTAACTAATAAATAAAATCAATTCTACCAAGCCAAACACATATCATACAAATAAGGGAAAATTTCCAAACTAGTCTCACAGGTATAGGGGGGTGACATTTTTGGTCCCAACGGAATTCAAAAAATATTAATAGTCCTGCAGCTTTTGAAAAATAATCAAAAGTAGGACATTTTTCAATTTTCCGGCCCGGAATGCCACGTGGCACACACGTGGCGGGACTATTTAAGATTTTATGGATTCTTTTGGGACAAAAAATGTCACCTCCCAAAACCTGTGGGACTAATTTTGATTTTTTTCCTTGCCATTGTACTCAGCCACGTCAGATGAATGTGGCCACGTGGCATTCCGGGCCGGAAAATTGAAAAAAGTCCTACTTTGATCATTTTTTAAAAGCTGCGGGACTATTAATATTTTCTGGATTCCGTTGGGACAAAAAATGTCACCCCCTATACCTGTGGGACTAATTTTGAATTTTTCCCTACAAATAATATAACGCACATATGAATATGAGGAAAATGCAATTATATAAAAGAAATAAGGACAAGAACATGAAGACGAACACATAACAATAATTAAATTGCACGAAATAATAAAATAAAATGAAATAAAACCAAACAATAATATAAATGCAAGCAATAATATAAGAGCACGTAAATAAAATTATAAACGTGAGCAAATAAAATAATAAACTCGGGAAACTCATATATAATGAATGGGGCGCTACACACAACCCAAGGTCGAAATTTATTCCGTACTCGACTAAAACTACCAAAGCCACCAAGTATGTACATAGCCAAATCATTATGAGAAACATGGTGACCAACAGAATGCAACTCATCAGATATGGTGCGCATTTTGAGAATATAATCATCCGTTGAAAGATCGCCTTTCTTCAGAGTTTGCATTTGAAATTTAGATGTAGAACACGAGCCTTAGATTGAGTATGAAACAACTGAGAGAGAACTGACCAAACCTCAGCCGAAGACAAGCGACGAGTAATAATGTGACGTAGCATGGATTCAGTAATTGAAGCAAGCATCCAGCTAAGGATAAATTGATCAGTGCAAATCCACTGCGTATACGCCGGATTAATCGCCGGTACAGAAGAGCTGGTAGCGCCGGTGCAGTGGAATCAAGCAAAAACTCCTCAAATCCATGAGCTCGAACAGTGGACAAAATCCGAGCCTTTCAATACGAGTAATAGGTGCGATCCAAACGCAAAGGGAGAGGAATGAGATGAGGTAGCAGCACAGGCTACGAAACAAAGTGCCGCTTGTTTTGTTTAACTTTATTGTGCTTAATTAGTTTGTGGACTATTTTGCGTAGTCTTATACTTTTTTTTTTTTTTTTTTTT